TTGACGAAGAGAGGCTGCATAACGGAATAGGCTTCTAGGGTTCGAGGCAAATTTGTCCATAAGCTTTGTCTGATAATGAAGCCTGTCTTCTCTTATAGCCTTCGTGCATATGTTCCTGATATGTTTGAATTGCCTATACGCTCCTTCGTTGTCAGTTCGTTTGTATTCCGCCCAACAGTGTCTTTTACGGCTTAGCAGGCGAAGGGTACGGTTCTTGAATATTGTAGGTGGCTTACAGCTTTTGGGAACCGTTTGAGGAACTGAATGGTTTGTAGCACATAAGAGCGTGTGCAGTAAGAAGTTCCAGTGACCATCCACATCGAGTTGGGGGTGAACATCCCAAACCACCTGTTGTAAATAGTCGTGTAGAGCTGGCACATTCAGCCGTTTAAAATTCCAACGCAAGTTATTGTTCGGATACCTTAGCTTAGTTTTGGTGACAAAATTGAAGGCTATGACGGCATGATCGCTCTTTCCCAGAGGAGCCAAGATTGAGAGGTTGTCAACAAGGAATTCTTCGTTTGTGAATACACAGTCTAACCGCGATGGTGTCTGACTGTTTCTCCAACGAGTTGCCGACCTCACATTTTCATATAAGCCCAAGTCATCAATGAGGTTGAAGAACCGAGCTTCAATTGAGTTGTCACCTCCAGTATACGTGTGTTCCACGAAGTTGACTCTAGGAAGGTTAAAGTCCCCTAGAATCAGGATATGTGTGAAACCGAGACGGGTAGAGCGGGATAGTTCATCCAGCATACGACTATCGTACTCGATGTCAGCAGTTGGCTTCCTGTAAATGACACCGACTAGACACCTCGAAGTGCTGGACAATCTTACAGAGCACCATATGGATTCCTCAAGATTGTTAAACTCGAGGTTGTGAACTTGGTGCACCTCCAAGCAAGAGCTTATGTATATGGCTACTCCACCCCCAATTCCTGTTGTTCTGTCGTTGCGGAACAAAGTCATCCCTGGTAATGCTAACTCTTGGTCCGAGAACTGAGAAGATAACCAGGTTTCAGATATTCCTATCAGGTGGGCCTTATTAGCGTTGCAAAGTTCACGTAATTCATCCAGTTTGTTTGGTAGTTTCGAGGCGTTCGTGTATAAGCAGTTTATGCTTTCAATTTGGAACGCATGAGCTTCGTCCTGTTTTTCTGTATGAGCCTTGTGTGAATGGACAGGTAGCCCAACCATGTGAGGTTTACCGAGGTGGTAGGCCCTGTCCTTTACACGTTTTTTTTATCGTTTAGACAATCCACAAGTGGAATGGTCAGCTCCAACTTGCCTTTGTACTTAGTCCTGGCTTCGTATGGCCTGTCCGGGTGCATGTGGATTCCAGGTGGCAATCGACGTCTGTTGGCACGAAATGCTTCCAGAACTGCAGCCGCCATGTGGGAAGATGGGAAGGTTATCTTCATTAGACGGGGTCTAAGATCACCGTCCTTCTTGGCTAATCTCGTCACATGCTGAGTCAGTATGTGTTTGAGCCTCAAGGACTGTTTGATGAATTTCCATTCCCTGATGTCAGAATTTGATTGAGTAGGGTCTGTATTCTCCGGTATACCTTGCACAATTATGTTTCTTTCGCGGAAAAACTTCTCACGAGATTCTTTAGGGATGTTACGTATGATATTGCGCTCAGAGAACGGTATATCGGGCAATATTCTTACGTTACCATCTGATTTCAGCAAGTGACTTGCTAGTAAGACATCCTCTACATCAGTAGCATTCTTAAGTGTTACTCGGAGAAGCCTTGGGTGATTTAGATGCTTAGAGTCCTTTCTTCTAGAGAGCCGGGTGACCATCAAAGGCTCTATTCTAGGAAGTTCTAGCTTCTTGTTCAATTCACCCCAAAGCATCCTGTCGTTTTTGTCCTGCAGACTGAGAGGAAGGTCAGGATTATCAACGAGGTTCATGATAATGAGAGAGTCGTCACGAACTGTTGTTAATTTACCAGGTTTCACGGCGGGTTCGTGTTTAATGACTTGCTGTTTGGAGGTCAGTGTGCGTTTATGAGGCCTGGGCTCTTTTTTGACCGGACGAACAGTCTTGGGAGTAGACTGTGCGACCAAATCACCAGTTAATTTCCGTACAGCAACTCTTGGGTTGCTCGGCTTAGGCGGTGATGCCTGGTTCTTTTGGGCTTTCTTAACTTGGGTCGAATCATCTACAGGGTTTTTGGGAACCACTGTTGAGTTCAGGGACCCTGAGCTGGGAGACCCGAGTTTGCTTAGGGAGTCTAATACCTTCGACGTAATGATGGTGCTGAGCCTCGACACGTCATCATTAGTGTTGATGGATTTTCCATCGATGGTATACCTATCGACATCCCTGTTTTTGTATCCATCGCACGCTCTTGTTTGTCTACCGGTTTTCTTACTGTCGTTGTCCAAGTTAACTGACAATTTGTTTCGAAGACCTGTCAGTAGGACAATGATGTTACTCAGCAAAACTACAGCATCCGTGCTGCACGTGACACATACCCATTTTTGGTCTGACTTGCTGAGTCTGTTGTAAGCAGTTGATGTCAGATCTGTGCATGCTTCGTGGAACCAACCTTTGCAGTTGTCGCACTGCATGCCAGTTGCTACAGCAAAACGGCATCCCGGACGTTTGCATGAGTTTTTCATGACTATGTTGAAGCAAACTATGTTATAGATGCTTGCAAGAGCCCTTTAAAAACCTTTAAAAAACACTAAAAAGCACACTGAAAACGGACAAAAATGGATAAGACGAGTGTCATAAACTGAAACTAGTCTATACGTGAAAAACAAAAACAAACCAAATAGTAAACTGAGGCAAAACCACAGGTAACTATTAAATATGGTGAAACTAAAAAAAAATAGTAATCTACCGAACGTATAGCTCAGAATAGATTCTTTAGAACTGAAATGGTACTTTTGTTGCGTAAGAACACAGCAAAAGTTTGATAAATGCAAATCACGTTAGTACTAAACTTCCCGTTCGAAAAGCGCGGTCCTCCACTAAACTCATCTGACATAAACATCTGCAAGGTCGACAACAACCCGATTATGAGTGGTATTAGGGAATATATTTTTGGTACCGTAATATGCATATCACGCTGACCAAATTATTAGTGTATAAGACTCCGATTATTTCACTCTCCTTATTCAATACTGTGCCACCATATCTTGGCTTCTGTACAGACAACTGGATTCCATAGAAACAGATACCAGTTTGCCTGTTTGCAGAAGTCATTCACAGCAGTTGATAAATGTAAATTTTATGGGACAGACCAAGATGCCCGCCAAAAATGTTGATTATCATCCACATGATTTCAACGAGTTAATTCTGTTTTTTACCACTTCTTATCACAGAACAATATTTGTATACGCGGTTACGAACGACGCTGTCAAAGGTGGTCGTCCCAGGCTCACATATTTGATAAGGTTAAGTAGTGAATTCAACTCCTAGAGGGATCTTTTTGACATATGCTTTCCCATTCTAATATATTTGTTTCCATGTTTAAACCATGTCTGTTCCCCTCCAGACTGACAGCATTTCGCTAGACCGAACACCCACGTAGGACCCAATATTTATTGTGTTTGACTACATATTTAGTTTTAATTTCGTAATTGTTTACAAGAGTAATAAGATGAATTTCCAGGTTTGTCTGAATCTATCCATTTATCGCTTTTATGAGGTAAACTTTTTTATGTTTATAAGTTTGTGTGTCTAAATTGGGACCTCCTGCTCTACTTGTTCTATACATGTTAATAATAACATATCACAACCATCTTGAAGTCTATTAAACCTCTATACGACAACGGGTAAATATAATGCCGAAAAATCCGCGCTTATGATATTGTGATGTATTTGAAGATCTGTGTTATATGTTTAAAGATGTCACGGATATTCAGGATTTCACAAAACTTTTATCTGCAACATTCCTATAATCGAAAGATAAAAAGCCCAGTCAAACAAGTAGTTAGTATTGCAGCAGTTAGATCTAAGCTGGCTATTATTTGTAAGGAATTCATAGCATGGAGTACTCAACAGTGATATTTTGCGAATGAGTGACTAAGAGCCTCCAGCTAGGTTGTGTCTAGTAAAAATAATGAGGTCACCATCAATGTCAAAAAACATAGAGAACTGTGGTTTAAGACTTATTTACTGTTGATCGTTCACTCGATTAGTCGTTGAATAGCCTTTCCTTTTTGTTCCGCCGTAGGACAAGGAGTGCAACTGGTTTGCACTAATTCAGGTCTCGTTTGTCACTGAAAAATTTCTAGAACGAATGTTATTCCTCATTTTTGGATTTATTACAACAGTCAGTGGACCAATAATTTGCACGCTCATTCAGATCGATTAGTCAAATATGAATAATAAAAAGGATATAAGCTCACTCTCACGGATTTTCATGTCACATCTTCATCATTTACAGGTCTTGGTGGGATGCTACAAGGTTCGCATTTAGCTCTATGATCAGCACCCTTGTAGTGGTCCCTTTGTATATCAATGTAAGCGCTATACACCATTTGATCCTCCTGACCACGCTCTTAGTGCCTGGTATTTTACCTTACCATATACACAGCTAAGATCTCAGGCCAACGCTGATCGGATCATGGAGTTGAAGCATCACTGAGTGACGAAACATTACTGACTTCATATTTATCCTAGCAACACAAATGACCGTATCTTATAACATTTCTATCCTCGAAAGAAATACTCACTGCTTCAACTTTTCATCCATCGCTATAATAAACACTTTGTATCAGCTTCTATCTGTTGCAACATAACTGAGATACTTTACACTCTTATTCGGTTCAATTACTTAACAGGTTAGTTCTGCATATGGAATGGAAACAATCAGACTGCCATGAAACTTAAAACAATCATACTTTCCGTGAACTTGATCAATAAAGATAATAACATCGTTTTCGTCTTCGATACAATGATTTCACACAGTAAATTAATGTAAGTCTATTTGAACATGAAATGTAGCTGAACCACACAACCAACAAAAGTGAAATAACTAAATAAAAAAAACATTTATTGATCGAATTACAAAAACTTATCAATATTTTAAAGAGAATACAAACTTTATACAAATGGAATCCCTTCAAAGGAAGAAAACGTTAAAAATACGTTACTTAGCTCTTTGCATTTGCCGTAACCTATATAAATCCATAGGTACATTACAGCCAAGAGTAGCAGCCGACAAAGGATTTCTTAACTCTGACCCAGAGCCAAGAATCTGACCCCCTAATAAGGCAGCTGCGCGTTCATCTTCATCATCATCATCATCGTCATCATCCTCTTCTTCTTCATCTTCAGAGTCGCCAAAGGCATTTAGATTTGTTCGTTTACGCAATTTAGATTGATTAGCCACAGAAGCACGGTTACCATGTCCAGCTAAACTATCTAAAGCTATTTGCTGTCGACGTTTACGAGCAGCCAATAAAAGTGGGGCAGCGGAAGTCGCTGTACTAGCCAATTCAATGGATAAAGCTGTACCAGAGTCAATACTTGTAGCTAATTCTTCAGATTCACCTGCAACAACTTCCATATAATCTTGACAGAATGAAGACACAGAATAATTGTCAACAGATTTACTTTAACAGGTAGATAATGATAATAGTAATTAAAACCGATCAAATATCTCAGCGAGAAACATGAATTTAAAATGATCATACAAGAAACAGAAGTGAGTCTACATTCGTTTTCTGTTTTCAACTATTACGCGAAAAATAGAAGCTCAAGTTAAAAAGAATTTTAACTGTACAGAAACAGTATTTCCGTAAACATAATAACATTACGAGACGAAATGATGCTCTTTAAACAGATGATTCGTGGAAATATTTCCACCACGAATTGGAATCTACCTCTATTAGTGCCTCTTTTCATATACGAAAACTATGTAAGAGCATGTATCATATCACTTGAACCTAGGCTAAATATCTACACGAAACAGTTATTCGATTGTGATCGACTTGTGACTTTTTAGTTAGTATCATAACGGATCACCGTTGAATATGAGAAATCATTTGACTGAACGGATAGGAGAGCCGTATGAAACCTTCTTAGACACTATGATGTGCCTAAGAAGATCGTCTCATAAACAGCGAAAAATGAAGGTAAAGATAACCGGTGTAGCACCGGATTCTGCTAGTGTAGGCCCAGACATTTACAAGGGAAAAAGCGAGACCTCTAATTACGATACTGTGAGCGTCGACGAAATCCCACTTGATGACGATGCTCTGGAAGAGGTGTAAACTTTTACATAACCGGACACCATAGTTGGTAAACAAAGGCGATCTGATTCAGATGTAAAGGCACAGACTGATAAAAGCAAGGGTACTATTCCCACAACTAAGGAACTCAGAACAACTGTCAGTCGACATCAAAATCAGAGTTTTTTTTAACACAAACGCCAAGACACCCCTATGGTACGGAACGGAAATCGGGGGAACTAATATAACTCATCAAAAAGGGACAGGCATTAATAAACTGATGTTTATACGAGACACTCCAGACCCATTGGCCAGACATACTTACCAAGAACCTACTGTGGCAAAGAACAAACCAGCTTTTAGATGAAGAAGAAAATGAGGAAAGACAGTAGAGGTGGAAATGAAATACATTGTGGAAAACATCGAACTCCATTGCGAGGTTAGTCCTAACCTAGAATCATCAAGGGAAAATAGAGAAGAGGCTAACTAAGGAATATATTGCGCCGGGAATCGGATACAGATTTCAGAAGAATGAATAGCGCTTGGCAAAAACTAGAAAGGACAGAGTTACTTAGAGGATGCTGGTCAAAGGCCTATTCTGCATGAGGGGTAACAGGAGTAAGTAAATAAGTAAATTGCTGCTGCATGTAAATAAGAGTATGTATGTGATGGTTTCGATAGTTTCACAAAATGATACCGACAAAAAAAGTTGATTGATTAGCTTGTGACAGACCTTTACAAAATGATAGACATTAATATTTTTGTCTACAAATAGTACATAAACACAACTGATACAATTAGTACGACAAAGCTAACCCAATAGGGAGTCTAAACTAGGATAAATAACTGTCCAACGAATTCTGACTTTTAACGGTTCGTAAGCTAAGGCCAGTCTGAGATGTGATATATCAGCATACGTTTAAACAATGGTAAAATAATAAAACAGTGGATGATAATTATTAAATAAATTTCCATTTGTTGTAATGATGGATCAATATATTTGAATCCACTTACCATCAGGGATTTCCAATTCTAGGAAGTGTTCCAAAAATTTATCTACATCAACAAATGGACCGTGAAAACATTGTGGCGGTGGAATAAGTTTCAGTAAAGAGGAAGCAGCCGGTGGTGGTGGGAATTCACCACCAGCTACTGGGTGACTCCCAGTACGTGGATAAGCTTTCGGTTTAAATGGTAACATCTGACTGACATCAGGCTGCGGATAAGTTGGCCTTGGGTCAGTTCCATTGATTGTTGAGCCAAGAGCATCACCTACGACTACGCCTGCACTACTACCAGAGACACCAGATAGTGTGGATCCTAAAGAGACCCCAGCAGCTCCATGGGAAGAGATCACACCGCACAACATATCATCATACCCTTTGCCAATTCCAGCCAGCTGAAAGCGAGTCAGTTCCTATAAAGTAAATTAAATGGTAATTGTTTTAAATAGTATTCACATCACACAAAAGGTGATGGTACCATCAATTCTAAAAGAATACAAACAAAATAAACAGGTGAACATACACTTACTCGATAACCCAAAGATCTAAGCTCTGAATCTGTACATGGTAATAAATCTAGGAAACGATATCTATCAATCAGAAGTGCGGTTTCTAATCTTGAAAATTCTTTCGAACCATCCAATGCTTGTAAACGTCGTTTTTCCACTTTCAGAATACTAGCCAAATCACCAACCTGTTGAAAAAAAACAGTAAAATAATGGTAACAACAGTACGAAAGTAATTTAAAAATTAATATATTTCATCTGTTGAGTGCATGTATAATAATTTCGGCATTAAGTTTCACTACTCGTGCGAGGACTACTGATAATAACCTGTCATCCAAACTGCAACATTAGGTAAAGTAGGTTCTAAACACGCGATGCAAATGTTCCCCAATGATGGTGTACACACTCAAACTCTAATCAAACATCAATAGCTCCAAACCAAATTTATTAGTTTAAAGGTTAAGCGCTTGATGTGAGGTCTGAAGGTCTTGGGTTCGATCTTTAGTGGAGTCATGAACGACCACTGCCGTAGCACATCTGTGCGTCCTATGTTTATCTTGTCTGTTTGGCTGTTAAACGATCCCATGCTACAACAAAATAAATACCATCTGTTTCTCGGTTTCCCATGGTCGTCTAAATGAAATTAATCCACCATGTAAAATTACATATTCAGCACACTTCATAACCCGCCTCACTTCTACACAAAAAATTATAATCAGTTGAGGAATGGTTTTATCTCCTTAAATTCAATTACTGTAGATTTTAAAGTATGTAGGTAACATGAGTAAATTACTTTCTATGACAAGAATATGTAGAATGCAAATATTGATTAAAAACGAACATAAAAAAATTATCCAGTTACCTGTGATTCAAATTGCAAAAATCTAGCCCATATAAGACGTGCACGTTCTTGTGTAATTTGATTTGATCCTAAAGCTCGTTCAAATAACACTCGTATATTATTATCCTCATTTAAATGTGCCATAAAATCAACATAGCACAATACATATTCCGCAATACCACCGAAACGTTTCATGCCTAACTCAAATATTTTATGTCCAATAGTTTTATCCTAATATGATGAAGTGGAAAAGAACAAATAAACAAACAAGAAAAGTTACCAGAAAATAGAAAACAAATAATGGACGTAGGATGAATTAGCAACAGTTCGAAAACTGTTTACACGAAAAAATATATGGGAAAAAATATGAGTTCCCATGTTTAATGATTTTACTCTCCTAAAAAATGTCTTCTATATGCAAATAGATAATACAATGTAATCAACATGTATGAGGGTCATTATTCAGTAGGTGTTGTCATGATGATTTTGAAACATTGGTCTCGGAGATTGTGTCAACCCAGTAAGCACTGTTTTTGAAGAAAGCATAGAAAGATGGCCGGTTAATGGCAGTGCAGTGGGATGAAGGATAATTATGTCGGTACATCACTAAACACTAGATGGATTCCTAAAAATCATGATCCAAATTATTCTTATAATTATGATGAAACTTATTTTTAATAGCCAAATAATAACATATGTGACCACAAGTTACAGAAACGCTAATTTACAAAATACAGGGTACATCATTTCGATACCCTTGAAAATGCTTTCCCATTATTTGAAACACCGCCTGAAGTCCTATTAAGACAAGCATTTTAGAGACCTAACTTTTTAACTGCAAGTATTTTTAGGACCGTCTGTGCAAACGATTTTCCCAAATTAAGTTCATAAGAATAGTGAATCAGTTATCAGAAAGCACAAAGGATAGCACATTCAATATTTTCATTAACACAGGAATTTGATGTCCCACTTGGCTTTGTATTACACTTCCAGTAGTGATGACCCTCCTTGAGATGTTTGATTCACTTTTATTCTTTAACTCTTTTGAAAAAACCCAACATATTTCATAAACTACCTAAGAGTTTTTCCCAAGCTTCAACAAAAGCGTGATGATGAATTGCCGAGTATTTATTGGGGACCACATATACACATACAATAAAATACAAATTTATAAAAAGAGAACAAAAGACACCTACTTTACTACAAAAATATTCCATTAATGCAGCACTACAGTAAACATGATAAGTAATGCGCGAATCATCACGAGCTAGTTTAAACACATATCTAGCAGACATTATGCCTTCAGCTCTCCTGGCGAATCGCATATATTGTATATAAGGCTAGAATATAAATTAAAGAACATAATTCAGATTATACAGTCAACCTGTATTTCTTTTCACAACAAAATTAATATACAACTATATAGATGATAATTCGTAAAATTATAAAAATATTAAATATTAGTTAAATAAGTAAAGAACTGATACATATTCACATACCCTCAATTATAAGTCAGGTATCGTAAGTAAAAACCTTACATGAAGCAGTAACTTAGAGATCGAAAAGCACTTAGCTTTCATCTATCAAATGGCAAGTCCGAATACCGCTCGAGTTACTCCCGTTTGAGGAGTCAAAGGGTGGTATCACAAGTACTAAGCACTTAGCTCAAATCCGAGTAGGTAAACTTATCTTGGTAAGTGAGGTGTATTATTTCTGTACTACTACAATTATACTAAATATTCATACATAGCCACAATATTAAGTGACTTCATTCATTAGCACGACAATATATATCATTTAACTCAGGAAATGCATTCACTCTTCCATAAGACAAAAGGATGATTCCATCTACTAGAATAGGTCAACCTCGATTTCGGAATAATTTGTTCACATTATCTGTATTGACTGATTATCAATTACACTAAAAGCATGTTCTAAGTGAACACCTGTCACCTTCAGTTGCAGTTGAAAACTTTTCAAGTTTTTTTTATTTGATGTGAGTTTATGAAAAACTCCAACATACTGATTACATTACGACTATAATGAAAAATACAGTACTCAATTTCCAAAAAGTATTTACACAAATTATAAAGGCTGATAATATGCTGTAAATTATTTAAAGTGATAATTCGAGAAAAATGTTCAACTAGAACGTAGAGAAGGTTGCAAATAGAGTTTGATTACAGTGCAATATCAAACACATGTTATGGTAGCTTAATTAGAAACTGTAAACGTTTACAAAAATGCCAGCGAGCGGATGGGAATTTCATAAATGTAAAGAAGAACTTAACTTATGTTCTCTGTAGTGAATGATATCAAGAACTAAACTGCTTAATCATGATAGTTCACTGCCGACTTTATAACAAAGTAAACTTAGAAAATTAAAAAACGAAAAAGAAAAATGTCTCACTCACTAGTGTCGGATCAATATTCTCCAATGAAACTAACTTCTTGTAGATAGAATGAACTTTTGCATACTTACATCGGCCTTCTTCATAATCGGCATAAGCAAAATATAACATCATATTTGTTTTGAGTAAAGCAATAGCTCGTTCATACATTGCCGCTGTATCGTTGGCAAATTGTCTAGCTGTTGTTTGATCCTTTTACAAAAAAATTGACAACAAGTAGAAAATTTATCAGAAAACACAAAAGGTTTTCATCAAATATAACGAAACTGTTTGATGACTACGATTCTTCCATATATATAATTCATATTTTGAGTAGGACTGAAATTCTACTACTTAACGGTCCCTGGAACCAAATATTAATACTAGACTCTTTACACATACATAAAAAGTGAGACATGGTAGAGTGTGTACGCCAATACTTGGCAAATAAGTAACAATAAAACTGCGTATATTATACTAGAATAAAACCATAAAGTTGATTTGTGTTATTTAATCACAATACACTGAAAAAATTAGTTACTAAACGATTGGTAAATATTACACACAAAGTATATAAGTACGTACTCCCTTTTCAACCAAAATTTTGCTTGCATGATCCAAGTAGCTAGCAGCTTCATACCATATATCTGGATGATGTCCAAGACATAAAAGACATTGTTCATAGGCAAACATTACTGAAAGTAAACAAATATATATGAAACTTTTATGCAACTAATAATGACATTTTTTAAAAGTTGGCTTTCCAATAACGTAGCAATACGGTAGTTACCAAACGGCAATGGTTATAATACGTCTCAGTATCAATTAAATCATAACTCCTAATGTAGCTACAATATCAAATGATTATTCATAGCTCATGCATCAACCTGTGCTGGAATGCATAACAAAATTAATGAAACATTCAGCTAGGTTTCCGCTTATCAGCACGTCGACAGTTCTTATGCTGAAGAGATTTATTTATTTAAATTAGCGTTCTCATATTATTATTATTATTATTATTATTATTATTATTATTATTATTATTAAAATTGCCTTCATCACCCTTTTCAACAAAAATCCTCGTTTGGGAGTTGATCTGAGAGTGATTGTTGAGTTTTCGGTAGGAATGGTAAGTCAAATGATAAATCTGTAGAATTATATCAACGATAGGTTGGAGAAAAGCTAAGAGTGCCCATCAGACCACAAAGTTACTGACGGTTGGACTGAACTATCTGATGAGACGCAAACTTCCTGACTGAGACCCACGCAACAGTCCTAGTCTGCAGTCACAGAAGCTAAATGAGATGACTCAAAATCGACCGCAGAAGCACAGTCAAACAGGAACAACGTAGAACTTCGTACGTACGTACATCAGTTCGAGTTGTCATACTATATTAGCACAAAGATGCAGTTGTCGATCCAAATCTTATAGTGGTAGAGATAGTAAGAGTATGGGCACTAATTGGGAAGATTAGGGTTTGAAGATGTTATTCAAAGAATATCATCCAGAGAAATAAATTTGGAAAGAGTAAAAAAGGGACATGAAGAATTCAGAAGATTAGAATTTGGGAGAACACAAAGAGTGGATGCACCTGCGCCATTGCAGACGATTTCGAGCCATGAAGTTCCACTACTTCATCAACTGATTTGCCATCCTTACCTAGTACCCGTTTCCTAACAATTGCATTACTTACTCGGTGGTCCCAGGATATACAAGCAATGTTTCGAAGAAGCACAACTGAATTCATTTCCCATCATCCTCCGTATTTTGCACAACCCTATTACTGGTTGGTTCCATCCTCTCCAAAGCGTAATATGCTTATTTTCACACAAAAACTATTGCGCAAGAATAGATGATCAAAGTGGTTATGAGTAATGAGCTGGTGAAAGCCTTTCAGAATAAGGAAATACCAATATATATATATATCATTTTTTTCAGCTTGATTTTTTATGTCCCAGTCATTCATTAGCAAAAGGGAATCACTATAGATTATGAATAGTAATAACCATATATAATCGTTGGAAAAATAAATGGTTTCCTAGTGTGAATTCGTGACTGAGAACATATAGTTTCGGGCATATGAAGGGCCCTGACTAAGTTCCCTAATCGGACACCAATGACTGAAAATTTAAGGTAATTGAAGATCAAACAGTGATTGTAAATGAAGTTCCTAACCCCAAGAACAAGTACTACTTTTACTAAAGGTTTTCTGGTAATTTTAAAAACACTACCAACCTCTTTTTGTGACTGTGATGATATCTTCTGTTTTCAATGGATTATCTTTTTCCCATTGAATATACTTCTTCCATAGTTCGACCTTAAAAGTAAAGTACAAAGCAGTGTAAAAATTTAGATAGAACCAGAGTGTTAACTTCAAACGAATTAAAAACGTATGACCAAGACTGATTACACACAGAGCAACTACTGGAAACTTAATTTTCAAAGTGGTCGGAGGAAATTTCGTTCAAAAAACTTATCCAATAAATTGATAGTGTTGACTGGTGGTCGACTGTTATGACTGCGTCAACAATTGTTATATCTGCTTGTCGCTAATTGTTATATCGGAATCGCTTATCACTTATACTTGTAAAACGAAGAACCACTGCAATTCCCAAGACGCAAAAGTAAGAACACAAGGACTTGTACAAGTGAAGGTTTACTAAACCCAAAAACACGACTACCACAATACTCGAAAATACATTCATTTATATATTGATTTGTACACACGTTTTGATTATTAATTAGTACGAAATCACATATATCAAAAATACTTACAGTTATAATAAATCATATGGTGAGTATAGTTTATGTTAACTGAATACAAGAATATCGTATGTTATACAGCATATCATACGGGAAAAGAAAACCGAATGCTACACTGAATAATTATCACATTGAATTAAAACGGAAGTAATGGACAAAAATCATAATGAGTAAAAGAACGTATCTAAAATACTAGCCTCGATAATTATGACACTTAACTAAGACTCGTGAATTGCAAACACGAGAGAATCAAGCTGGCTTCAGACCTGGTCGTGGCTGCATCGACCACATATTCACCATTCGTCAGGTTCTAGAACATAGGCATACTTACCGGCGTCCGATAATGGTGGTCTTTCTTGACTTAAAGGCAGCATTTGACTCGGTAGACCGCGAGATTCTGTGGCAGTGTCTGTCATTGAAAGGCGTACTTCAGAAGTACATAAAACTTATGAAGGCTCTTTACTCGAACACTACCAGTCGAGTCAGGGCTTATGCTGAACTGTCATCTGCTTTTGCAACTTCAAGTGGTGTCCGTCAAGGCTGTCCACTTTCTCCATTTTTGTTCAACTTCATCATAGACCTATTGATGGAAATAACATTCTCGGGTATTGATCTCCTTTGGGAAGTCCACTTATCGACTTAGAATGCGCAGATGACATAGTCCTGTTTGGTGAAGATGCTGGTAAAATGCAGTCTTTTGGTAGCACTGAGCAACAATGCTAGAATGTTTGGAATGCGCTCCTCTCCCTCTAAATGCAAGTCGTTGCTTCAGGACTGGTCTGAGTCAACACCTGAACTAAGGATAGGGAGTGAAGTAGTCGAACGCGTTGACAACTTCACTTATCTTGGAAGTCTGATCAGCCCTAATGGGTTGGTGTCTGACAAAATCTCAGCACGGATTCGAAAAGCTCGCTTGGCTTTTGCCAACTTACGTCACCTATGGCGAAGGCGAGATATCCGTCTATCAATAAAAGGACGGGTATACTGCGCAGCAGTCCGTTCTGTTTTAATTCACGGCAGCGAAACATGGCCGTTAATAGTAGAAGATACTCGTAAGCTACTAGTATTTGATTACAGATGTCATAGAAATATAGCTCGTCTCTGCCGGGATTACCAGGTAAGTAATAGTGAGGCTAGACGTAGGGTATTAGGGAATGATGATGGTGAATCAGTTAATAAGGTTGTGAATCTTCATCGACCGAGATGGTTGGGCCACGTGTTACATATGCCTGAACACCGAGTACCACGACGTGCAATACTAACCGGTGTTCGGGATGGTTGGAAGGGGGCGGCCAAACCAAAACGCGGCATCGGTGCTTCAAGTCACTAACTTCTAGTCTGAGCCATGTTGGTAGATGCAGACTACTTGGTTGGTGTCTGTGTAACTATCGTAACCAATGGTGGGAGACTCGGTGACATGGCTCAGAATCGATCACAATGGCGTCGGTGTATACACTCTCTATTTTCCCTTAAACTAAGAGATTAAAATTGCTTCATATCTTTCTTCCTACGAACTAATTCTTTCTTCCTGTACTATATCCTTATTGCAATCATTCTTTTATATATTACCACAAGTGAATTTACTTTTATGAATCCGGTGTTCATCTTGTTGTGTTAATGGGGTATGGCAATTTGAACCGATGCATATATGTGCCTGGTCCTACGTTGTAGCTGACTGACTGACATAATGTAATAAACAAATTCTTGCTTTACTTTAAGACTCATATTGCAAATAAATTTTTCATACAGGTTTGTTAAGAAAAGACCCTGCAAATACATCACTTATGAACGAGCGCTTCAAAATAAGAACTAATGAGTCTTTTGGTGAATTTATTACTTCTAATAGATAACAATGACCAACTTTTTTCACTGATAAATTAGTACGGGTCAAGTTATTGGTTAAGTAATCGAAGACAACTGCTTTGAACTATTTTTTGTAACCTCTATTATGCAAGTAGAGTAACGATAAAATAGGTCATTCAGTTTGATAGATTAATGTTATTCCGCTCATTTTTATTTCCATCATGCATTTGAGTGGGGATATAAACTACACAGACCAACAGAAACTGTAGACCAGTGAAAGCATGACTAATTCTTATGCATATTGGTTCTACTAATTAAAAAGTAAGTCAGAACTAACTTGCAAAGCAGGGTTCAAGTCTGTGAACAAATAGTCAAGTCCTTTCACCATTAGGGCAACCAGGTAATATTATTACCCCTCCGGATTTGGCTGCTACACAAATAACTGGCGAATGACTTAATTAAAATTAGAACATACCATATGAACTCACCTGTTTAGCTTCATACGGTGTATTTTGGGGTGGCACTGACGGCATAGTCCTGGACAGTCCTTTTGTAATAACTTCATATTCTTTAGCTACACGACGTGCGTTCATATAGTCCCGACTACGTTCCTCGGTAAACTTTTTCGCGATAAGAGGATTAATTGAGTTTTCATACATGCAATAATCACGCCAAATAGTTTCGATACCAAGCATAGGAGTAACAATTGCACGTTGGTACACACGTCTAGTTGCAGTTATTTTTTGACTTTCTGCATATGAACCTTGAACTTGACTATACAAAAATCAGAAAATATAACATAACTTCCTGTTCGCAGTTATGCTATACTTTTCACAACTACCCAATCAAGATGAAGTCTCGTGAAATTAGGGTGAAATGTATTCATTACAGTACACTTAACACAGTTCATTAAATAACTGACCATACATATGTATTACTAATCCGCCGAATTAACATTCAGGTTATTTGAATTTTTGCCAGCATCTAGATTCCCAATGATGATATCCATAGTACTAACACCCTTGATTCGAATCAAGTGATATTCCTGTAAATAACTGACCATATGAAAATTGGCTTTCGTTTTTTCAACTATTCATGAGAGGAGTTGCATAAAATATGTCCAACAGAATCATGTCGATCCACTGCTTTACTTCAAAAGACACGGGAATGAGATATTTGAAACTCAATAAAACTTACGACAGAAACGTGTAAGGTCGGTAGTATCCAAGCAAAACCTATTTGTACTGAGCCTAGACAACCTTAAAGCTCTTTCACAAAAGAGTAATGAGATGGTGTAAAAATGGCTTAAAGGATAGAAACTTACAAATTAAGGGATAAAAACTACTCTAGAAAACCTTAGATTATCAACCCTGAATTAAGGGGATCAAAATAGGTAGCTATTTAATGACATAGCTCTATAGTTCCTGGGACCTAGACAGATGGACTTTGTACTTCTCAGTAGTCGATTAACGGTATTGAAACCCTCAATTTCTTATTTAACAAAATCTCATTATAACACACAAGATGCTAAGAACCGAAAACTTCGACCTGAAACGTCTACAGTTGCTCGAACAATACTAGTAATTTTAGTTAGACCGACTCTATGTTGTTTTCCAAATTAGAATAAGTTCAACTTGTTAGGTTAGAGACATCCAAACAAAAACCCACTCTGTGTTATACACATAATTATTTCACTTTACACAACCGCGAAAAAAGTACTTACGTTGAACGAAGAAAGGATATGTAGTCTGCCCATATTGAATAAGAATTAAGATCTAAGCCCATTTTATCCAGAGTAAAATCGTATGCTTGTGCCATTTTCTCTCTAAAGTGAAAAACGGTCTAAGTATATCCCTTACTTAAAAGATTGATGCTTTCCTTTAGTTTCCTTAATATACTGCAAGTATATTTTCCATAAGTCAATGTTTAATATCTTAACTAGACAACGCTGAAATAATTTTTCGACTCTTTCATAATTTTTAGCTTTCATCTGAAAAGTTGCCCAAAAAGCATTTAAGTTACCTCTTGATTAATGTAAATCTTCCAATACTGACCAGCTACCGGGAACTGGGTAACAATACGTTCAAAAATTTCCCTTGCATCGTCAATCTTCTTACTTTGAGCATCACGCAACAAAACACTCCATGCCTCGATATCCCAGGGATTAGACTTGATTCTTTCTTCTGCCTTCTGCATTTTGTCCATTTTGTACACTCTCCTTTGCATAAACGGCATTTTGCTGGTTTTAAGTAGGATCTCGTAGTGTAACGAAGTTTGTCAAAACTACCGCTAATCAATACGTTATTTAATACCTATCCAATGCAAGTGCGAACGTGAAACTAGCTTTGTTTGTAGATGGTTTAAATGCTTCAAATGGTTTTGGACGGAATGGAAGAAGCTCTTGCTCTTCGGCTTCCATGTCTAGCAGCAATTGATCACCAATACCTCCAGGCGAATTGGTCGTATCGACTTTAAACACTGACCCTATTTCAGTGTACCTAGTTACCTTTGGTTAGTATACGCATTGACATTGGGTTGCGCCTAGATGTTGGTTCTTTGCTGACAATGATTTATTCACTGTGGAGAAGTAAAATAGCTAAATGAGTGTTACAAGTATATGGATACGATTTCTTTCAATCAGTTGGCTATTATCCAGTCTATGTGTCAGACTTGGTGACAGTGATCCGTAGTAGAAAATGAATCCCCGAAATGAATAACTTTGTAACTTTTCGACACTTATAATCGAAGGATACCAACCCAATCAAATCAGAAGTCAATGATGAATGAGTTTGAATATATATTTAAAAGGTTGTCGATATGTTTAAGCCGGTTAATAGTTGCAAAAGATGAGTAGCATGGTGTACGAATTTGTGACCTGCTGCGGATGTAGGAACGATCTCCTTCAGCCAGGGTATATCCAGCAAAAATAATAAGGTGAGGATCAGTTTCAAAGACTTACGGCATTATTTATTTTGGTAGTTTATCTACTGTCACAGTCCTAGATGGATTAATCTCAAGATGCGATACTTACTGATTCCAGAAACGCTACGATATCAGGGAAAGATATATTTCATTCTATACAGTAAAGTTTTGTGACTAAATCTCAATGAATGTGTTAAGGAAATTCCGAGACCCCAAATAGAATGTTAAAATTAAATTTGTCAAATCGCATTCATAAAACTAGGGAGACAATCAGCGTATTTAGTGCTTGTTGACTTATCAGCGGATTTCCACTCCAGCGATAGAAGCGGATGGGTTTTAAGCGGAAAGAAACTACCCGGAATAATGATTATGTATTTATTTACTCTCCAAAAATGTGTCCGAACTAATAGTTAGAGCCAAAAACGATGACTGAAAAACTGTGAAGTGCGAAATTTAGAAAGAAAGGAGCACTAAAGGCACTATATACTTATGATTCATTGAAATTAGCAGTTGCCGATAAGTTACGCCTTATATTGACTAGTTAAATTATGAGATGTTGTATTACCTTCTCATCAACGATTTCAATAATAAACGTTAAAGATGTGATATTCATTAAGGTTTCCAAAATAGAGTCTAAAGACCACTCATCAAAATATAGGCATATTAATTTCACAAACACAGTTTCAGAAATTTTACAATGCATCCATAAAATTACTGTCCGTTAGATGAAGTACACACAAGGAATTTTGAAACATAATCGACCACAAAAAACCTATTTGTAGAGGGAAATTGGATTGATTTTTTAAAAACGAATAAATTGACACTGGCTTAGGCAAGACTTTGACAAAACGTCGTACATTTAACTCTCTTATGGGGTAATCTTAAAATATTCATACACTTGGATCAGTGGTAATTCATAGTTTAAATGCTGCGATTAACTTTCTGTGGTAACTAAAGATGTGATAACAGTGTGTGTAATAATAAGGTCTTGCGCCAAGTGAAATAAGAATATATTCACCAAACTTCGCAGAGCCACAGTGAGGTTTAAATCTAAAAATAGCTTGCACGCAGCAAGCCACTATTAAAAAGCCAATTTAAATCTCCTTACACAGTATCTTGGAACTGCTAACGGTACAATTCCAGCTAACCTCAAGATAAACGGTTTCAAAAGATCGTTAGATCTCTACACATTATTCTGTGGTAGATTGTGGTGCATGAGATAATAAGAAATAATTTCAAGCAAAATACATGTTCTCATGTTCTTTCAAACAGGTCGATGAAATCCGGTGGAAAATTTGGGCGAGTACAAAGCCGAAAATGAACTGAATCTCCACAGTATACGGGTCTATCCACCGTTTGATGAACTCCTAGGATCTGACTCCAGGAGGTTTCTGTTCTCTAAATCGACAAATTCAAGAGAAATATGGATGCATAGAAAACCTGAAAGTGAAGAAAACATAAAGTCCGTCTTCCTTTCGACATAGTAACATGATTAAACCCGATAATTTCACTTGCCTACCAGATAGGTTGAAATTTCAATATTTCAGCGACTCTTCTCATCTTAGTTGCAAAATTGGTGGCTGATCATAGTGACCGGTCAGTCATCTTTTATTGAGTAAAGGAGAGCGATAGTCATGACCTTACAGTCCGATTTGAGAATGAAACCAGTTTGATAAGAGTTCGTCATGATCGGACTAATTAGAAGAAAAGAAGATATAAAAACTAAAGCTAAGATCAGTTGTTGGCTAGAAGATTCTTAAGAGTGTAAATTTAACATGATGAGACTTCGACAACTAGTGATTTCAAAGTCACTTTGGGTGAAACAAAAAGCCACTTAAATGGACTTCGTGTTCGTTTCAGAAATGCCCGGAACTTGCCCAACAAGCTAACCCAGCGATTTTTCCAGACAAACCCTATCAAGCCGGATGTGGTCGTTATCATCAAAATTCGGGTGATCCAGCCTCCGGACAATAGAGAACATGGCCTTCAAAATCTCATATGAGTAAGAGCTAAAAGAACGCAGAAGTGTAAAGAAGGAGGAGTATTCTTTTTCTTTAGGAGTAATATCCCTTTTACCACCATCGATAACATATCCCATAAAGGTGGAGCGTTTGGATTAGTTTTCGCTTAAAATGCAAGGGATAAGAGCTGCTGACTAGTTTGGTTTGCCTCAGTTCAAACTGTAAGGCGAATGTTTCGTGCGTTACGGTAACCCTCGTGCTATAAATATAAGGAAGTGAATGAATACTTGAACTATACTGTTTTGGCATATGCTTGGTTGTTTGAGGTCAACTCTTAACCAACCAACCTAAGCTATTACAAATGTACTATCGCAAGGCAAATTAAACGCTTGTTATTTAATCGGCCGATATTCAATTTCAGGAGATCTTAATTCACCCACGATTGGCAGAAAAATCGAAGAACTTAGTTGTCAGGAGTTTTCTTCCAATAAAACCACCTGATGCGGTCATTATTTGTGCAACATAAGAAAGGGGCAACTAAGTACGAGATGAACCCCTAATCCTCTTTACTAGATCCCATATTGATGACGCCACGAAAACTGTCAACTCAGTGTCTTCAACTGACTGAACAACAACACAAAAACCCCGCATTGAAACAGATTGTGAGTATTTAGAAATTTGTACATTAAAATGTCGTAGCATTATACGTTTTTTGTAATACATGAGAGAACTTGAGAATCTTCCCACTATAGCTTAGTAAGGTTTGTACCCTCCTTTGTAATAGAGAAAGGATGCTAGAGGGACTTAGGTTACTGGTGAGATAAAATATCGATATCAAGTAGCCCGAAATATTTGCGCTTTGACCCCACACAGGTCTAGAAAATAACATGAAGAAAAACCCATTGGGTAGTCTGTGGAAGGCTTATATTCCTACATAAAATAAAGGACCAAGAGGAAAAGCAACATATCATTATTATAGGAGATGGTAGTACTGTAGAACTATGGTCTACTATGATATTAGTACTGCTCTAATAATAGACCTAATCCTAAAATGGAATGTGTGGTTATTGTCCAATGCCACTATAGTACCTCATTAGTAATGTAAGATGATTACGATAATGCTCAGATATTATCGAATAACCTCTCCAATGTATACATAGTACGAATTCTATTTTCTTAGATTCATACAAACCCCTCCTTACAACATAATGATCAATTAAAAACTCTTTGGTCTGTTGAATGAGCTTGAATAATGTAAGTCTAGAGGACCTGATGAAAGATGTCCTAGATTACTGAGGGGACTGGTAAATGTTATCTCAAAACCCCATAGCATATGTTTTGATCTATGTGTAATTCAAGTGAGGCTGTTAAAGCGTTGGAAGAATGCCGTAGCTGAGAAATTGTACTAAGTGATATCAGTATTATTCCTCTTGTGCGAAATGACCTATATAATTTCCTTTCATAATCGGTTTCGTCGTATACTGATGATATCGAGATTTGGAGAGCCATAAGATATTTAGGCGATAGTTTAGATCCTTAAATTAACCTATAGGATTCATCTGAATTGTATATAATTTAGCATTCTTTGATAGATACTTTCAAGTGCATTACGATGCATATTGGTCTTCAATGTATAGATGAATGCACAGTGAATGACCTTAGGCCATCTGTTCCTGGTATACAAAGACCTAAGAGTCATCGTTAGTCAAGACTTGAAAACCACTTCACACTGTCGCGAGATGGCCATATGGTCAATATGTTAAATATTTAGCCATCTGCTTAACTAGGATATTTTAGACTTTACATACAACATCCGTTCGTTACAAACTTAAGTATTCCATGCAGGCAACTAGCTCCTGCCTAAAATATGTCAGAAATGTGTCGGAAAATATAAAAAGGAACGTCAGCTAACTTGATTTCCTGCATTGCAAAGGTGCCATATGAGTAGAAACTGGTTTAAATAGGTAGACAAGCGGTGACTAGATCACAGTTTTTTAATTACCTTGTAATAAGTCTACAGCTGGAACACCTTTATATTTCCTGTCTTTTGGGACAAAGAACTTGCGAGAACACGGGGAATGTTCACGACTTCAAAACAAATTACCTGTTTATTGATTAACGATTCTGTCAACAAATCATTAACGGATGGAACCATTATCCTTAAAACATAATCAAGGCTTCACCTGTTGACGCATTCAGAGGAGAGTTGAATGAACTGAGAAATCACCAATACTAAGAGAAACATAAGCCACCTAATCTCCCGTCCCTTCTAAAATGAAACTGAAATCGAAGTGGATCTATCATTAAATCAAGTTAGTTTTCCGAGTATGGATTAATTAGTTATGTAACTTTGTTATGAATGACTGTAGGACACATCCTGTTGATTTAAATAATTGTATTTCTTCCACCGTTA